GTGTCGTATACGACCCCATCGGCAAGAAGTTCGTCATGATCGCGGACTGACAGCCAAGCAGGGCGGGGAGGGAGGCCGCCAACCAGTTCACCGATGCACAGTCTAGGAGCACATCCAGGCGTCGTGGACATCGACGTCGTGCGTGTCTGTCCCGTTGGGGCCCCAGGAGTCTCACACTTCGATCTGGCCCGAGGATGCCCACGTAATCCTTGGTTGGGACCTCCTGCTGCTCTGGCTCCTGTTGCCTCCTCATCCTCTCTCCCCCTCCAGCTCCCTCCTAATATTGGCTCCGTCTCATCGTTATTCCTCGTCCTCCTCGTCCGCTATGGTCCAGTTTTGCCTGAGGTGACTCTGGCCCAAGGCGACCCCAGTTTTCATGGGAGGCCCAGATGACTTCCATGGCATCCCTCACAAGGCCCAGAGGGCTCCGTAGGGCTCCAGAGCGGCGCGAAAAGCTGGGGGGCGCCTTGGGCCGGGCCCACCTGGGCCACCTCTACCAACCGCCGTCCCTCCTCCTCGTCCTCCTCTCCCTGCTCCGCTTCCGCTCGGCATCTGTCAGCAGTCAAGCTGTGCCCTTGATTGGTTCGCCCGTTTGCGTTTTTTTGTTTCTGCGCGTCCTAAGGGCGTCCTCGGGTGATTGGATGCAGGCGGAGGCCAAGACCCCTCGAACAGAAAACATACATGGGATCGTCCTCTTCTCTTCGCCCTGTGCCGACGGCGGCGACCGCCGGAGCCCCCCCGCCGCCGCACAGGAGGAGATGGACATGGGCTGCGGCCTGCAGACCTGGAACCTCAACTCCAGGCGCGCCGCTCAAGGGCGCCCGCGGCCCAGCAGGGCTCGACCCACGCGGTGTTTTGGCGATTTCGTTGACCGTTGTTCGCTTCGATCTCGTTTTTCACAGCGAAGGCGCCACGAAGACAGAACGACAACGCATACAAAACGAGGGAGAACGAATACAAGCTTATCCAGGCGAAGGACCCAACCATATGCAGTTGTGGGTACCGCAATTGTGAGTACCTTCTTCGATGAAGCTCCCGATGGGGCCAGGGGAACGCATGCGGGCGGTCCCGCTGGGGGCTTGGGTGGAGCTCCCTATGGGGCAACGGAACGCTGTACTGGGTCGGTGAAAATGCCAAATTTGGTTTCCGTTACGCACGCGGGCGGTCCCATTGGGGGCTTCGGTGGAGTTCCCCATGGGGCCACGGAACGCTGTACTGGGTCGGTGAAAATGCCGAATATGGGCGTGTGGGACGCATGCGGGCGGTCCCATTGGGGGCTTCGGTGGAGCTCCCTATGGGGCCGCGAAGCGCTGTACTGGGTCGGTGAAACGCAGGGAGGGAAGAGTAGGAGAGAAAGGGAGGAGGGAGGAAGGAAGGAGGGAACGCGGGGACCGTCTCTCCAAAACGAGGACCCTACACCACAGGATGGTTGGGAACAGGGGAATCGAATACAACATGAGGAACGGAGACAAACCTAAAACGAAACACACCGTGTTGGTCGAGCCCTACAGCCGGGCCTGTCCTCAAGGCAGGGCTACTGAGAGTTCCATCCTCGCTACCAAGCTTTGCGTCCGGCGCGAGGGGTAAGATCAACAGTCGCTTTTTGAAGGATGCTCTTCTGCTCTTCGCGTTTCGGCTCTCCACCTTGACGTGCTTCTCATTCGGGGTATCTCCATGGGGCCTTGGACCTTTGGCGAAGGGGCTCGAGTTACGGACCCGCGTGCGTGTGGCCAAGTTTTTGCTGTAAGAGTTCGACCCTGGGGAGACGCCAACTCACCGCCCCAACGATCCTGGTCCAGCGCTCAGTCCTCCTCGTCATCCTCTGCCACATCCTCGCCTGTTCAGCAACGTTCCCTCCTCGTCGCCAGTCTCGCCCCCCTCATTATTCTGTCCCTCCTCCTCCTCCTCCTCCTCCTCCTCCCTCTCCTCTCTCCATCAGCGCACCAACAAATCGGCCTCATTCATCCCCCTCACATGCTCCTTTTTCCTCCCTCTATCGGGATCCTCCCTTCTCCCTGTCATCAACTTCTTCGTCTTCCTCGTCCACCTCTTCGTCCTCGTCCTCATCGCCAAGCCTCCCACGCGCACGGGGCTTGAGCATCTGAGGGCTCTCGAGAAAGGACGGGTTCCTGGCCACACCCAGCTGGCGGAGGGGTCAACGTCCTGTGGTGTTCGTGGAGGGATCGCGCTGCGCAGAGGCTAATCTTAGGCTGGGCATGCCCCCTTACAGGCGGATCTTGGATGAAAAATAGAAAATGCCCCAGACATGTTCAACAATCGTCAAACATAGTCGAAAAACGTACCCAGGCATTTTTTGTTTGACTATTTTGGAATGTCCCTCCTGCAGAGGGACAGGCCCGACTTCAGGCTAATCTTACCTCGTCCTCGTCGCCGTCGTCCTCCTCCCCACCCCCGGGACCTCCGAGCAGGTGCGTCGTCGCGGACTCGCCGACCGTGGACGGGGCCTACACCTTCCGCGGCGTGGTCGTCGACGCGTGGGCGCACTCCTGCGCCCCCGCGAGGGACGCCCGCCGCGCCCGCCTGCCGGTCGTCGTCGTCGACGTCGTCGTCATGCAGCGAGATCGTCGCCGAAGTCGTCGATCGTTGTCGCCGATCGTCGTCGTCGCCGATCGTCGTCGTCGTCGTCGTCGTCGTCGTCGTCGCCGATTGTCGTCGTCGTCATGCAGAGAGATCGTCGAAGAAGTCGTCGATCGTTGTCGCCGATCGTCGTCGTCGATCGTCGTCGTCGTCGTCGTCGTCGTCGTCGTCATGCAGATAGATCGTCGAAGAAGTCGTCGATCGTTGTCGCCGATCGTCGTCGTCGATCGTCGTCGTCGTCGTCGTCGTCGTCGTCGTCGTCGTCATGCAGAGAGATCGTCGAAAAAGTCGTCGATCGTTGTCGCCGATGGTCGTCGTCGCCGTCGGCGGCCGATTCGCAACTCTGCGGAACCCCCCATGGGGCCCTTGCAGGCCGTTGCGGCCCGTGAGATCTCGCACAGGGGCAGGGTCGGTCGGGGAAGCCTACGGTCGGGGCGCTGAAGAAGGAACCCTTTTTGTTGGGGAGGGGCTCGGTGCTCCTGGACTGTTTTGCAGCCTGCCTTGTGTTCCCCTCAGGTGTTCCATGGGGAGTCGAAGACTTCTTGGAAAAAGTGGCCTCGCTCCTTCTATTCAGGGTTCCCTAGGTCAACGCCCCGACTGCAGGATGACGACCAGTCGCCCCAGGGCGTTCGGAAGCGCTCGCAGAGCGTTCCAGGGCCCATGGGGAGTCGAAGACTTCTTGGAAAAAGTGGCCTCGTTCCTTATATTCAGGGTTCCTTAGGTCAACGCCCCGACTGCAGGACGATGACCAGTCGCCCCAGGGCGCTCGGAAGCGCTCGCGGAGCGCTCCAGGGCTCCCCGAAGGGGCTCCGGCGCCCGAATCCCCCCCCCCCCCCGACCCGCGGGCTCCCGGAGGTTTTCCCGAGCTGCCTCGGTGCGGAGCTGCCCTGTCGCCCCCCGCGCTCTCGCCGCTGTCGGGGAGGCCGGGTCGCGCCCGCCTCTCGGAGGCCCTCAGAGCCGACGCTGCAGGACGGCCGCGGCAGCGCGGCAAAGAGAATCACCCCCGGAGTCCCGGGCCCCATCTCTCCGCGCCCTGTGCCGAGGCGGGTCGATCTGCGAGAGCCCCATGGGCGCGAGGCCGGGCGAGGGGAGCCCAGTCGTGCCGGGCTTTCGCTGAGTCTTCTGTTCTGCTGTGCCCCCCCCCCCCCCGTGCCGAGAGTGTCGGGGCGTCCGGGTGGACAGGCGTCTCCCCGGCGTCACGGGATTCGGGGCCCTGGGGCTCGGGGGGAGGGCCTCCTGGTTGGCGGAGGGAGCGTGGAGGGGCGGCGGAGGAGGAGGAGGAGCAGCAGCAGGAGGAGCAGAGCAGGAGGGGAAGGAGGAGGAGCAGGAGGAGGAGGAGAGGAGGAGCAGGAGCAGGAGGAGGAGGAGGAGGGCGGAGGAGGTTGAGGAGGAGGAGGAGGAGGAGGAGGGAGGAGGTGGAGGAGGAGGAGGAGCAGGAGCAGGAGCAGGAGGAACAGGAGGAGCAGGAGGAGCAGGAGGAGCAGGAGCAGGAGGAGGAGCAGGAGGAGGAGGAGGAGGAGCAGGAGGAGGAGCAGTCGGCACGAAGAGGGGCGGTGAAGCAGGGCTGCCCTCCACTGCCGGGGCTGCCCACGCCCCGACCGGCCGTCCGCGGGCGTGCGGGCGGGAACTTCGGCGGTCAGCGGACGCTGCCGCCAAAGCTCCCGCTCGCCGCGTGCCCGCCGCTGACGCCGTCGCCCTCGCCCTCCTGGCCGCCCTGCGCCGCCCCTCCCCCCGCCCCACGAGGAAGGGGTGGGGGGGGAGAGGGAGGAGGCAAGCTGGGTGCGCTCGCGTCACACCTCACGTCCTACCCTTCCCTCCCACCCCTTGCCATGGCGCAGATCTCCTCCCTACTCGGACAAGCGGATGTCGCAGCATGGCACAGCATTAGGGGAGAGTGGGGAGGGTGGAGCGGCGGCGGCGGCCTGGCCTCAGGGGCTACGCGGTCGCCCTGGTCCCCGCGGGCTTCCCGTGCTTCGGCTCGCAGAGCCCTCCCCCCTGGGAGTGGCCGTTGGCTCAGACAGCCGGCCGCCCCTGGGGGGGGGGTCGCCCGCTCGCTGGGACGGCGGAGGTGCCTGCCGGCTTCCAATCGAGGAGCTCTCGGCGCGCGGCAGACGCGCGACCGCGGGGGGAGGGGGACGATTCTGGGCTTCTCGGGGTTCTCCTTTCGCCTCTCTTGGCGCTCCCGTGGAGGAGGAGGAGGAGGAGGAGGAGGAGGAGGAGGAGGAGGAGGAGGAGGAGGAGGAGGAGGAGGAGGAGGGGAGGATGAGGATGAGGATGACGAGGAGGAGGAGGAGGAGGAGGAGGAGGAGGAGGAGGAGAGCGGGGACTCTGCATCGCTCGGCATGGGCATGTTTTTTCGGCGTGGTGCGGGGGGACGGACGTCCGAGCGATGACGGGCCCCGAGGGGGGGGAGAGGAAGGGGGGTGCGGGCGGGACGAGCTGGGTGCGTTCGCGCGGGATCTGCCGTCCTACCCCTCTCACCCACCCCTTCTCATGGCGTTGGTTGCTGCTTTCGCTTCCGACGCGTGTTTCATAGCGTGCTTGGAGCCCCCCGAGAGGGCCCCATCGTGTTGTGCGCCATCGGGATACATGGGAGTTACACGAAAATGACGAGGAGACGAATGTGGAGGAGGAGGAGGAGGAGGAGGAGGGGGAGGAGGAGGAGGAGGAGGAGGACGACGACGACGACGAGGACGAGGACGAGGACGAGCAGCATCAGCAGCAGGAACTGGAGTGGAAGCAGCAGGAGGTGCAGGAAGACCAGGCGAAGCGGAAGAGGGCAAAGAAGCGGTGCGACAACAGTGACAACTGTAAGCAAGGACTTAAATACAGCAGACTGCCCCGCGCTGTGGCGACATTGCCGTTCTGAGCGACGCCAGCAGAGCGCTGGTTCGAAAACAGGGCCCACACTGCAGCGGCAGCACTATTGAGTTCAGAAGGTGAATTACTTACCCCGGTTTCGCTTCCAGTCAAAACCATGTCATACCACGCGTTTCCTGGTCACGCAGTCTGACCATTGCGAACTATCTCGGGGGTAAGTAGGTCGTTTGGGTCCTCTTAGAAACGGGGGTGGGCAAACGCGAGGCAAGTTCGTTTTTGTTTGTTCTCTCTCTCTCTCTCTGGATTGAAAGCGAGCGGAATGTAGCACATCACAAGAAAACAATGCTTAACATCTTGTGCGTCATAATTCAGTGCGCGGAAACATGGCGGGCCCCTCCTCGGCCGTCATCGGGCGAAAGGGGAGGGCAGCGTTCAGAGTGAACAGATGTAGAGGAAGGGGGAGGGACAATTATATACAACGAGAGAGAGAGAGGGAGAAAGAGAGAGGAAGAGATAAACAAGGAGAGAGAGAGAGAGAGAGAGAGACAAATGGTAACACAAAGTGAGGAGGAGTAAGGGGAACAGGAGGAGGAGGAAGAGGAGGAGGAGGAGGAGGAAGAAGAGGAGGAAGAGGAGGAGGAAGAGGAGGAGGAGGATGAAAAGGAGTAGGACAAGGAGGATGAAAAGGAGGAGGAAAAGTCGAGGAGGACAAGGAGGAGGAGGAGGAGGCAGGCAGGATGGAAGAGAGGAGGGAGGAGGAGGAGCAGGAGGAGGGAGGGGAGGGAGGACGGAGGGAAGGAGAGGAAACAGAGGAGCACGAGAGGAAGGAAGGGGAAGGCGGAGGGAAAAAAACGATGAGGAAGAGTAGGAGGAGGAGGGGGAGGGATTGGAGGGGGAGGAGGAATAAGGGGAGGAGGAAGGAGGAGGAGCAGGAGGAGGAGGAGGAGGCAACGAGGAGGAGTTGGAGTAGGAGGATGAAACGAGGAGGAGGAGGAGGAGGAGGAGGAGGAGGAGGAGGAGGGAGAGGAGGAGGAGGAGGAAAACGAGGAGGAGAACGAGGAGGAGAAGGAGGAGGAGGAAAAGGAGGAGCAGGAGGAGGAGAAGGAACAGGAAGAGGAGGAGGAAGAAGAGAAGCACTAAGAGGAGGAAAGGACGAGGAGGAGGACGTGGAGGAAGAGGAGGAGGAGGACGAGGAGGCGGAGGAGGAGGACGACGAGAAGGAAGAGGAGAAGAAGGAGGAGGGAGAGGAGCAGGATCATCAGGAGTTGGAGGAGGATGATGTTGATATGCACTAGCGATCGCCCCGGTTTTCCCTGAAAGCCTGCCTGCTGCCGATGCGTTTCTGTTCCGGGGTTGTCTTGGTCCCGAGTTTGTGAGCTCGCGGGTTCAGACCAGAAAGAGTTGTTGCGACGGCGGCGGCCGCCATTTGATGGCAGCTGGGCGGGCCGGATCGCCCTCGCTCAGCTCTCGCCTCGGCAGCGCTGCGCGCGGAGGTGAACGTGGCCCCGCCCCTGGCAAGGGCGGTGGCTCTCCAGCGAGGAGCCGGGGGGGCATCCACGGCGAGGAGGTGGGCGGCTCGTCTTCTGTGCTGGGCCTGACCGGCGTGGTGCACCACTTGGCAGCGGGGAGAGCCCACTCCGCCCGACGTTTTTGCAGCACTGATATCGGAGCTGTCGTCGTGCTGAACGTCCAGATGGCGAAGACCAGCAAGTTGGAGCTTGAACAGGTCGGCCGCCTGTTCGACGGTGACCCCACGTTCGTCGAGAATCGGGCCGGACGAAAGGGGGGGATGCTTGTTTTTTTATGGGACAGGGGGGGTGCCGGTTTGGGTGGGGGGTTTGGTTTTTTTTTGTTTTTTTTTTTTTTTTTTTTTTTTTTTTTTTTTTTTTTTTTTTTTTTTTTTTTTTTTTTTTTTTTTTTTTTTTTGTTTTTTTTTTTTTTTTTTTTTTTTTTTTTTTTTATTTTTTTTTTTTTTTTTTTTTTTTTTTTTTTTTTTTTTTTTTTTTTTTTTTGGCTTTTTTTTTTTGTTTTTTTTTTTTTTTTTTTTTTTTTTTTTTTTTTTCTTTTTTTTTTGTTTTTTTTTCTTTTTTGTTTTTTTTTGTTGTTTTTTTTTTTTTTTTATGTTTTTTTTTTTTTTTTTTTTTTTTTTTTTTTTTTTATTTTTATTTTTTTTTTTTATTTTTTTTTTTTTTTTTTTTTTTTGGAGTTTTTATTTTTTTTTTTTTTTTTTATTTTTTTTTTTTTTCTTTTTTTTTTTTTTTTTTTTTGTTTTTTTTTTTGTTTTTTTTTTTTTTTTTTTTTTGTTTTTTTTTTTTTTTTTTTTTTTTTTTTTTTTCTTTTTTTGCGTTTTTTTTTTGGAAGTGCGTTGTAGGGTTTTTTTTAGGAATTGCTGCATGCAGCTGGTCTCGGGCCCGCCGCCGGGCCCATTCCTCGATACATGGGCGCCTCCCGGCGCCGGGAGGCGCCGGGAAAATCAGCTACGCGAGCTGATTCTCAAACCTCCCCTTTGCTATCCCCCCCTTTCGCCCGACCCGAGAAAAGGTCAGCCGCCTGTTCGACGGTGACCCCACGTTCGTCGAGAGGTATCACGAAAGGTCCCGCGGGGCGTGCTGCGGCAGGGTGGGCGGCGAGAAGCAGTCTGCGTCGCCCTTCAGCCTCAAGAACGGGCTGTGCGGGACGGCCTGCGACGTGGTGTGAAGACCCCCCCCCACACACATGCAGCTCCTGACCTTTGAAAATGATATTGTCGTGGGTAGCAAGGGTGGCGCCAGCTACGTCAAGAAGCGAGCGACTACCGACGGACTCGAGCTGCTGCTCACGACCTTCGGCGAGTCGGTACCCAGAGCACGCCCAGTCAGGGCGGCGGATCTGTTTGACGGAGCGCTGTACGACAAGTCGGCATGGAGGGCAGCCGGCGAAAGCATGCGTACAGGACTGCATTTTGCGGCGCTCGACGGCGTTCGAAGGTCTCAAGAATGCGAGCGAGGAGACCCGCATCTCCAACGATCTGCAGGCCCACTTGTTGCTGAAGTTTTCGGGTGTCGAGAAGTCGGGCCACGCGAGTATCGCCAGTTCGTTGGACAGCAGGTGCGATAAGGGTACGTTCGCCAAGGCCCAGCGGATGCAGCGCCCGAGCATCCTTGAGTGCGAGAGTTGGAAGAAGGACAAGTTGCAGCGCGGTGACACTCGGCCGATTCAGGCCGAAAAGCCTCGCTTACCGCGCGACTTGGGAGGCTGGCATCGAAGAGGGTGACGAGCAGGACGGCGACGACGACAGCAAGTCGCACGCTACCTCGGAGCCCGAAACCTACTTAGGCGAGGCGGGTGCCAGCTTGGAGGGAATCGGCCAGATGGACGAGGAAGCGTTGGAGATCCTCGCGGCCATCGCCCAGCACAAGCAGAAGTTTCAGGCGAAGGGCCGAGGGAAGGCCGCTGCAAGGGTCAATTGCTCAGGCGGCTCTGCGTCGAGCTCTCGGGATCGGCCGCGGGGCCGCAGCGGCAAGGGATCCAGCGACAGCCTGGAACGCAGATCCAGGATCGAGAATTTTCAAGCGCGCGACGAGATGTGCGAGCTGCGGGCAGATCGGTAACTGGCACGGCGACGCCAGCTGCCCGAAGTCTACCCAATCATCACCACCACTTTTCGTACAGGCCGAAGTCCAGCGACTTTTCGTTCGGCGACTTCGACTGCAAACGCAACCAGAGCACCAGGGCCGCGGTCCACGTGGCATCGACGACCTCGGGAGGCGCCAACCTCGGGGGCATGGCGAAGCCGAGGGATCGTGCGAAGCCGAAGCCTTGCCCGAGGAAGGACATCACCGAGCTGGTTTACATGCCTTCCGCGAGGAGGTCAGGACCGCCCCCAGTCATGGACCCCTCGTGCGCGCGCGCGCTGTCTGGCGACAACCGGCTGGCCAGGGGCGCGAACGGCGCGACCCTGTGCATCGCGTGCTACATATCAGGGGGCGGCGCTCACGTCGCGCGGACCTCGAGGGCGAAGGAGACTTGTATCAACAAGTGGCAGTACATCATGTGCTTGATGTTCTTCACCCGGCGCGGGCGTTGCTTCCTCGAGACCTACGAGACGGAGAGGCCGGCGGTCGCCGGCTCGAGGGCATTTGGGCGTCCGAGGTCGGGGCCGTCGGCAGGCTCAACGGCCGCCGGGCCGTCGCCCGGCGGCGGGGCACCGCCGTCCCCGAGGCCGCGGGGCAAGAAAGCGGCGTTGGAGGTCCTAGCGCTCATCGCCGAGGACGAGCGGGACGGTGAGGTCGCGCCTTGCCCACAGGACGACCCGCGCGAGGAAGGCGACGAGCCCCAGGAGTGCTTTGCGGCGTGCCCCGTGGACTTCGCACAGGACGGGGAGGAGCTGAACACGGAGAGGCCGCCACAGGTTTGTGAGAATATCAAGACTGGAAAGTACAGTGCTACACCTTCGCGGACTTCAGCGACCACCCGAACACCAACAACTACGGCTTTAACATCATCAGTAGTGCGATGGGGCAGGGCGCTCCCGAAGGCACGAGCTCGGGGTCGACCTGTACCGGCTCGCGTGGTGCCTGATCAGCATCACAGCGCAGGGAGACTTGAGCGCGGACGAGAACCAGGGCAGCTCGGCGGCGGGCTCGAAGGACTGCGAGATTCTGATGGTGGTCAGGTCCGAGGACGGACTCGACGCCTGGCGTTGTGGTGCTGGATACAGCGTGAGATGACAGTGCAAGGGGCCCCTTGGAGGGCGAAGTACGAGCGCGCTGGGTACCAGCGGCACATCAGGACGAATGGCCACTCTCAGGGCACCACGTTCCACGGCGTCGGCGGCAGCGCGACGTCGGACAATGTGTTCAATCTACACGCTGACATCGGAGGAGTGCCCTTCATTCTTGTCTCTGCCGAGCTGTCCCAGGATGCGCTGGTGCTGATTCGCGTTTCGCCTGAGACATCCTGACAAGCAGAGCTACGATAGGACTTCGGAAGGGAAAAGGTCGACCTCCCCGCCTGCTGTTTCAATCCCGTGGATAAAAGGAAACAAGGGGAAATAAGGGGGATGCTTTGTTTTCCGTCCAGGAGATGCGGCTACCGATGCCGCTGCCCTTCGCCAGTTTGCCCCTTTTCGGCTTCTTCGGAGGCTCTCGTTGCCACCGCTGGAGTCAGAACGCGCCCGGGTAGAGGTCTGGGGAGTAGATGTAGAATCTCAGGAATCCGCGCGGGCCTTCGGAAGTGTATGGTTCGTATATGCTTCAGCGTCTTTTTCTTCTTTTTTTTATATTTGTCTTATTCTTCTTTTTCTTTTTTTTTTTTTATACTGCTGTTATTAAGTTCTTCATACTATATTATTATGCCTATTGTTTTGCTCCGAGCCCCTCCGCGTGGCGCACCATCGCAGAGCGAACCTGGCCAGAGGTTGCTTCCGATGGGGGCACCGCGGGCGACTCCACGTTTTTGGGGGGTGGCCGCTGGGCGCGAGGGGCGCGCCGTCGAGGTGTGCTGTCTTCCGCGTTGTTCGTGCTTGCGCGCGCGCGCGATCAGGGGCCTGGGTCTGCCTTGGGGCGCCTCTTGGGCTATCTTGGGGGCTCTGGGAGGGGATGGCGGGCGAGAGGACAGTTATGGTTTGTCTTTATATACCTTTGTATATATATATGTATACATAATATGTGCATATATATATATATATATGTGTGTATATATATATATGTATATACAGTTATATATTTATGTCAGTGCACCAACAAACATCGGGGCCGTATTTTCACAAACTCGCCTTGCCCCCAGATCCGCCCACGACGGCCCCCGAGGCCCCCAAGAAGAAACCAAGATGCCCCCCCCTGGGGTAGCTCTCGTCGTTCCATCGCCTCCTCTCCCGTGTTCTGTCCTCCCGTTTCGTCGCTCCTGCGCCCTGCTGGTCGTCGTTTCCCCCGTCGGCCTCCTCCATCGCTCCCTCGTCCTGCGAGGGGCGGGCGAAGTCAAAAGGGGGGTCGACCCAACTGCTTGGCCCCATGGGAAAAAGGAGGGGATATTTTGCCCCGTTTCGCGCTCTCTCTCTCTCTCTCTCTCTTTCTCTCTCTCTTTCTCTCTCTCTCTCTCTCTCTTTTCCCTCTTTTTGTGTTTTGTTTTGTTTGTTTCTCTCTCTCTCTCTCTCTCCCTCTCGCTTTCTCCCTCTCTCTCTCTCTCTCGTTCTTTCTTTCTTTCTCTTTCTCAGGCCACGGTTCACCTCATGACTTTCCTCCCGTCGCCCATCGCAGGTCGGCTCGCGGGGCTTGCTTCCAGCTCACCTGGCGACTCCTTGAATCGCATGGCGGCTGAAGACGCGCAGCGTGAAGCTCACCTGTCCGTATGGAGGCATCAAAGAAGGGCAGACCGCCCAAACTCATCCCCCCTTGCGCACGCGCGAGCCGCCCCGCGGCATGGCCGCCCCCCCCGCGATGCCCAGGACCCGGTGTCGGGCATCTGGGTCGTCTCGCACCTTGGCGCGAGCGCGGGGGTGGGTGGGTGGGTGGGGGGGGGGGGGGGGGAGGGGGGCGGCGCTCGGGGCTGAGCGGCGCCTGCTCCGTCCTCCGTCCATCGGCATGCTTCGTCTTTCGTCTCCCTACCCCCTCGGTTCCTCCCTCCTTCCTTCATCCTCCTCCTCCTCCCTCCTCTTCCTCCTGCTCCTGGCCTCCTGCCTCCTCATGCTCCTCCTGGCCTCCTCCTCCTCCTCCCCTTCCACCCCCCATCCACCACACTCCTCCCTCCTCCCACCCTCCCCTTGCCCTTTTCGTTCCTTCCATCCCCCTCCAGCTCCTCTTTGATCCCGTCATGGGTGCCGTGCTCATGCGTCCATATCATCTCCACCTTTGCGTGCATGAGCAAGTGTTGCCGCACGTGTTTCACGTTGTCTCTGTGTGCTTCCACACGTAATCGGCGTCTGGGCGATCGTATCAGGTGGCGAGTGATGCGGCATCCAGCATTCGGCGGAGTCTCGCGCTGCTTCCCTCAGTTGTCCCCCTCCTCCTCCAAAGCTTGCGCCGGGCAAGACAACATATGGTGTGACGAATCAAGCCCACACATGATTTTCGCACGTTTCAAGCGTCCCTCCACGAACAGGGTCGCGCGTGCTTCACACTTGATCTATCTCATCCGCTCTGGTCGTTCTCTTGTCAGTAGGGCGGCCATGTCCACGTCAGTCACGGCCTATGTAGTCCACCCCGCGCCGCCGTGTGATATCGGAAAGCCTGCGGTGAATCACTGCTGCATCATTCCTTCTGGAAGCGCCTGTGTGGTGGAAGTTCTGGGCGTCAGCACGGTAATGCTAGCGGACCGCGTAATGACCAAGCCTTCGGGGAACCATGGGAAGTTTTGACGCTTCGCTGCTCCCCACCGGCCAATCCCAAACAATCAGACACCAGGCGGGTTGCCTTGATGAGGGATGTGTACCGTCCTGGCTTGATGGGCCTGTTTTCCACCGCCACCATAAGTTGGAGGGGGAGGGTGTCTTCCTCCTCCTCCTCCTCCTCCTCCTCCACCTCCTCCTCCTATTCCTCATCCTCCTCGTCGTCCTCCTCCTCTTCTTCGTCCTCCTCCTCCTCCTCCTCTCCTTCTCCTCCTCCGCCTCCTCCTCCTCCTCCTCCTCCTCCTCCTCCTCCTCCTCCTCCTCCTCCCCCTCCAACTTATGGTGGTGGTGGTGGTGGTGGTGGAAAACAGGCCCATCACTGGTTGGCTCGTTGCCTGTCGTTGCTCACCGTGCGTCCGTCGTTGTGGGCGCGCGAACACCGACGACGCGCGCGCTGGCCATCTAGCAAGCAGGGAGGGGCGACAGGCGACCACTCAACCAAGGCAGCCGCGGGAAGCGCGGGACGACGACGACGACGACGACGACGACGACGACGACGACGACGACGACGACGACGACGACGACGACGACGACAACGACGACGACGACGACGGTGACGACGACACCCACCGACGACGACACCGACCGACCGACCGACCATCCCACCGACCGATCGACAACCGACGACAACCGACGACCGACGACCGATACCGACGACGGCAACGACGACGACGATGACGACAGGAGTCATTATGAAGGCCTTTGCGACCTTGTGCTCTTGGAGCATCTTGGACGCCTCTCGATCACCGTGTGGCCCTCTTGGGGCCATCCTGGAAGCCTCTTGGGCATCCGTGGGACTCTGTTGAGGCCCTCTTCGGGCTCTCCCAGAGGCTCTCTCTGGGCCCTCCTGGAGGCCTTGGAGGGCTTCTTGGGTCGTGGGGCCACCTTGGCAGCTGTTGGTCAAACAAGGGGAAGGTCGCCGATGTCGGCACTCCCGGCGGGGCCCGAAACGTCGCCTCATGGGGGCCCGCTTGGGCCGTTCTTGGGGCCGTCGTGGGCGCTCCCGAGGCCGTCTCGGGGCCTTCTGGGGCCCACTGTGGCACCGTGGGCCACCTTGGAGCCGTCCTGAGGCCTCGAGGGCCCGTTGGAAGAGAGACGGGGAGCAGGCGAAACACCATTTTGGTTGGAGGGACTTTGGCCTCCCGGGTGCCTGGTGGGGAGGCTCGGAGGGCCATTGGGGCTGTCCTGGGGCGATCTCGAGAGCTCTTGGAGACATGTGGGAGGCTATGTTGGGCCATCTTGGGGCATCTTGCGCGATCGTGGAGGCCATCTCGGGCTCTCTGCGACCCTCGGGCACGTCCCTCTACAGGAGGAAAATTCAAAAACAGCCAAAGAAATAGTCCGGGGACGATTTATGATTATTTGTTGGTGTTTTTTGGAGCATGTTCTTTTGACAAGTTTTTATGTTTGGTCCAAAATCGGCGTGTAGGGGGACAGGCCCGGCTGAAGGGTAGGGGTATGGGTGTCCCCTCCCCAGAGGAACAGAAGGGGGTTAGCAGAAGGAACTCCCCAGACCACTCACGGGCTGGTGGGATTGGGAGGAACCTGTCTTGGGGCTTCGTTCGGGCCTTTCGGGCGGGGGCCTTCTGGGCCTTCTGGGGCTTCCTCGGGCCATCTTGGGGCCCTCCTGGGCAGTATTAGTTGGGCGGAGATTTTGGGGCCCTCGTGGGCCGTAGTAGGGCGCTCTTGGGTTATGCGGCGCTTTCGGAGGCTATCTTTGGGCCTTCTCTTGGCCGCCGCCGTCGTCGCAGCCTCCGAGGCCCCCGCCGCCGCCGAGGCCGCCGCCACCACCGTTATCGCGGTCGCCGCTGCTGCCGAGGCCAAGGCTTGGGCGCGCCGTCACCGTCGCCGCCGCTGAGGCCGCCGCCGTCGTCGTCGTCGTCGCCGTCGTCGCCGTCGTCGTCGTCCTCGTCGTCGTCGATTCCGTCGTCGTCGTCGTCGTCGCTCGGAGAGGTGCGGGCGACGCCAACCGGCTGCACCAGAACGCCACCATGGCGTCGCGCTGCTCTGCGAGCAGCGCTGGCGAGTGCACCGCGGGGCCAGGCCTGGGGAGCGCACGCGTCCGCCGCCGAGCCTCTGGGTAGCCTCTCTCGGGGAGGAGCTGCGTGGAGCCTGTATCGGGCCGCCCCATCCTCCAGACGTGCAAGCCTGCTCCGGCACACGCGCAGCAACTACGGAAGGCCTGCGTCGTGTCGACCGGCGGCGACCCTGCCGCCCGCGTTGAGTGTTGAACGCCGCCGGCGACCCAGAATCGGTCGGCATTGAACGATCTGGCGTTTCGGACAGGGCTAATCGTTCAAGCTTGAACGCTCCCCGCGGTGTCAGGAGCCAATGCTTGGGCCGTCACGACACGAACCTTCCGTACAGGGTCCGGCTTGAATAAGGAAAGTTTCTTTTTCAAAAGGGTTCGGTCGTTCCTCTGGTTGGAGTGCGTCCCGCTACCTTTTTGGCGGCGAGCCCCCCCGGTGTTCCTTCGCACTCCCCAGAATCACTTGGACGAAAAAGGGGCTTCGTTCTTTCTTCGTCGCTCCTTGGGCCAGGCCGTATATGACGAACGAACAACATACACCCATACCCATCAGGGGGTCGTTGGAAGGAGGACTGGCTATGGGTATGGGTGCGGGTTGTCGGACCCTAGGGAACGCTCCCGTTCGAGCGGAGACCCCCATCCGACAACACGCACCCATAGCCCTTTCCGGCCCCCCTATGGGTATGGGTGTGTGTTGTTGGTTCGTCAGTATACTGTGCATGCCCTCAGCGTGCTCCGCCGCCTGCGGCTTTCCCCGCTGCCGCTCGCGCCGCTTCCCGCTCCCGGTCGTGCCCGGGTGGGCCCGGCAGCAGTGCCCCCACAGGCGGCCTCCGACCGCGGCGTGGAGCCGCGCCGCCGCGGCCAGAAGCGTGCGGGACCGCCTCTGCCCAGGCTTGAGTCGGGCCTGTCCCTCCACACGAGGAATATTCAAAGATAGTCCAAAAATAGTCTGGGGACCATTTGTTTACTTTTTTTTAGAATTTTTGGGGCCTTTTTGTAAGTATTTTTGACTTTTCGTCCAAGCTCAGCCTGTGGGGGGACAGGCCCGACTCAAGCCCAGGCACCTGCTGCACCCTGCATTCTTTGGCGCCCAGATGGCCCCGGGTAGCCTCGGACCGGCGGTCGCCTGGACGGTCTTTGAGTGTTCCTCTTCAGGAGACGTGTTAGCCCTGTGCGTGTGCGTGTGTGCGTGTGTTTACCTTTTCTTGAGCTCCCCCGAGGGCGCGCAGCCTGTGTCGGACCTCGCTACGTCGCCGGCGTGGCACTGAAGGGCGTCGGTGGACAAGCACGGTTGGCGCCAGAGCACGTCCAGAGGAGCGTGGAGTGGCCTCGGGTGTGGCTCACCACCCACCAAACCACCCCAACCCAACCCGAAGGCTCAGATTTACCCTCGATTTCTAGTGGGGGGGGGTCCGGGAACATCGAAAAAACACATATGGAGCCCATACCCCCCCCAACCCGAAATTCGGGTCTTCGGGTTGGGTTGGGGTGGTTTGGTAGGTAGTCAGTGGCGTGGATGGCCAGGCCGTGGGGCCAGGGGGGCACCCAGTGAGCTCAACCTCTTGACGAGAGCATCATGTAGATCGAGGATCGCAGTTCATGGCCACCTGTCTCCCCAGAGGTCCGAGGCCGTGTTTTTTTCAATGCGGGGTCCCTGGAAGTTCCGACCTCTTCCCCAGGACCAGTTTTTCATCCTGAGTCGTTTTGTTGACGGTCCCGAGGGCCAGTCATGGCCCTCCGAGGCCGAAAATAGCAAAAAACACCTCCCGTCATGTTTTTTTCATTACCCGAGGGGGTCTGGGTTTGGGGCCTCCTGGAGGCGCGCCGCTGCCACGCAGGCGTTCCCCTCGGAGCTCTCTGGCCTGCACTCCCCGCTGCCCCTGGGGGTCCGCCGCGAGGCCAGGGCTTCGACCTTTGTCGACGTGCTTTGTTTTCTGTCAATCGCACAACTGTTCCTCGACTTCGGTATTGGTCCTTCCCAGACATGATAGCGTCGCTAAAAAATCAGGACGGGAGGTTTTTGCCAGTGTTCGGCCTCGGGGGGCCCTCGCTGGGCCTCGGGACTATCAAAAAACGATTCAGGATGAAAAACCGGTCCCGGGGAAAGGGTCAGGACTTTCAGGGACCCCGCATTGAAATTATCCTGGCGAAGGTCCCAACCATATGCAGTTGTGGGTACCGTAATTGTGAATATCTGCTTCGGTGAAGCTCCCTATATGGGGCCACGAAGCGCTGCACTGGGCGGGGGGGAACGCTGTACTGTGTGGGTGGTGTGCCGAATTGGGTTTCCGGGACGCATGCGGACGGTCCCACTGAGGACTTCGGTGGAGCTCCCTATGCGGACGGTCCCACTGAGGACTTCGGTGGAGCTCCCTATGGGGCCACGAGCGCTCTACTGAGTGAGCGAAAATGCCAAACTGGGTTTCCAGGACCCCATCTGCCCGGGTCCCACTTGGGGAGGCCTCTTCGCGCCGATTTTCCATTTTTTTGTTTTCTTCGGTGGAAGCCACTTCTGGGGCCCACGAAAACGCTGCACTGCGCGGGTGAAAAATGCAAAATTCTATTTTCCCAGACGCATACGGATGGTGGCACTGGGCAGGGGCCACGAGACGCTGTACTGGATATGTGAAAATGCCAAATTTGGTTTTCAGGGCGCATGCGGACGGTAGCACTGGGACCTTCGGTGGAGCTCCATATGGGGCCACGAGACGCTGTACTGTGTGGGGGGGGCGCATGCGGACGGTAGCACTGGGACGTTTGGTGGGGCTCCATATGGGGCCACGAAAAGCTGTACTGGGGTGCGGGACGCATGCTGGAACGGTAGCACTGGGACCTTCGGTGGGGCTCCCTATGGGGCCACGAAACGCTGTACCTGGGTGGGTGAAAGCGCAAGGGAGGCAGGGGGAGGAGGGCCACGAAACGCTGTACTGGGGTGCGGGACTTTGCATGCGGACGGAGCACTGGGGACCTTCGGGTGGGGCTCCCTATGGGGCCACGAAACGCTGTACCGTGCGGGACGCATGCGGACGGTAGCGCTGGGACCTTCGGTGGGACTCCCTACGGGGCCACGAAGCGCTGTACTGGATGGGTGAAACGCAGGGAGGAGGGGGAGGAGGGCCACGAAACGCTGTACTGGGTGGGCGGGACGCATGCGGACGGTAGCACTCTGACCTTCGCGTTGGAAGCTTTTTATTTTTTCCCGTTTTTTATTTTTTTTTTTTGCCCGATGGGGCCACGAAACGCTGTACTGGGTGTGCGGGACGCATGCGGACGGTAGCACTGGGACCTTCGGTGGGGCTCCCGATGGGGCCACGAAGCGCTGTGCTGGGTGTGCGGGACGCATGCGGTCGGTAGCCCTGGGACCTTCGGTGGGGCTCTCTATGGGGCCACGAAACGCTGTACTGGGTGGGTGAAACGCAGGGAGGAGGGGGAGGAGGGCCACGAAACGCTGTACTAGGTGTGCGGGACGCATGCGGACGGTAGCACTGGGACCTTCGGTGGGGCTCCCTGTGGGGCCACGAAACGTTGTACTGGGTGTGCGGGATGCATGCGGACGGTAGGAGGGGGAGGGGGGCACGAGGAGAAGAGGAGAACGCGGGGACCGTTTCTTCAAAACGAGGACCCAACACCACAGGATGGCTGGGAAAAATCAGGACGACGCATGATTGGGTTTTGGTCCTTATCGGGCTCCGAGGCCATGGCGAAATCCAAGCAGAGCGAAAGCCAGGGGAAGCGAACCCGGGCGAAGCGAACCCGGGCGAAGCGAACCCGGGCGAAGCGAAGCCCGGGCGAAGCGAACCCGGGCTACGTGAACCCGGGCCGAAGCGAACCCGGGCGAAGCGAAGCCCGGGCGAAGCGGGCCGGGCGAAGCGGTCCAGGCGAAGCGAACCCGGGCGAAGCCGAAACTCGGATCCGCGACCATGGCCTTCAGGGGTCGGGGGGTTCAGAGAGGGCTCGGGGAGTGCCACCAACAGAAGGCCGGAGGTCTCGGGAGGTGGGGGCCTCCAGAGCTCCCCAGGGGCACAGGGAGGGCCCGAACGAGGCTCGGGGATCGAGGCTCGAGGATCGAGGCTCGAGGATCGAGGCTGGAGGCTCGAGGCTCGAAGATCGAGGATCGAGGATCGAGGATCGAGGCTCGAGGATCGAGCATCGAGGATTGAGGCTCGAGGATCGAGGATCGAGGATCGAGGAGGCAGCGTCCAGAGGCCCCTGGAGGTTCGGGCAGGGCCGAGGAGCGTCCAAGAGCTTCAGGCCTGGAGGACGAGGCCCAGTGTGGCTGACCGTCGTCTGCCTCGATGGTGGCGTGGGAGGGGGGACAGGTCGGACGGGGCCAGGACGAGGATAACAGCGTTCCAGAACTCTCTCAGAGCGCTCTGGAACGCTCTAAGAAGGCCCGGTGCATTCTCCAGAGCCGCCGGGTCTCAGAGATCCTCGACGTATCCTCACCCGAGGTTGTCCTCGTCCTGGTTTCGTCTTGCCAGCTGGTTCGAGGGTCCAGGGCAATCACAGTCTTGGAGGGGTGCCCTGATGTCTTGTGCTCTTTGCCGTTGGTCTTGGCGTGTTCTTCGTTTTTGGGTAATTATCTCCACGGGGCCGTGGGCTCCTGGCGAAAAGACCCTTTGGAAAGCGGGGAGGGGCGGGGAGCTTCCGGAACGCGAAAGGGGAGAGGGACGGGGGGCGTCGGCAGCAGCGAGTCTTCGGAGAGGGACTCCTCTGCGCCGTTGCCCTTGGGGCAGGCCGCGCGCGCGGCGGTGGTCGCGGGCGGCTGCGGAGGAGGAGGAGGAGGAGGAGGAGGAGGAGGAGGAGGAGGAAGGAGGAGGAGGAGGGTGAAGAGGAGGAGGAGGTGAGGAAGCTGAGGAGAGAAAGGAGGCGCGAGCGAGAGAGGAGGGAGGAGGAAAGAGGAGGGAGGTGGAGGAGGCAGAAGACAGGAGCAGGGGCAGGAGAGGAGGCGGAGCAGGAGGACAGTGACGGAGGAGGAGGAGGAGCAGGAGGAGGAGCAGAGAGGAGGAGCAGGAGGAGGAGGAGGAGGAGGAGGAGGAGGAGGAGGAAGGAGGAGGCGGAGGCGCGACGGCGGCCGGCGGCGGAGGCGGCAGCGGAGCGGAGGCGGAGGCGGAGCGGGAGGGGGGAGGGGGAGGGGGAGGGGGAGGGGGACGTGGTGACGGGAGACGGGGACGGGGGGGGGAGTGGAACGAGGTAGAGGAGGTGGAGGGGGAGGGGAGTAGGAGTGGGAGGGGGAGGAGGGGGAGGAGAGGAGGAGGAGGAGGATGAGGAGGAGGAGGAGGAGCGAGGAGGAGGAGGAGGAGGAGAGGAGGACGAGGACGAGGAGGAGGAGGAGGAGGAGGAGGAGGCGGGGGAGGAGGGCATTTTCCTTCCCATATGTCCTTCTCTTTCGTCCTCCCTCCTCCTCCCCCGCCCTTCCTCCCTGCCCCCTCTCCTCCTCCGCTTCCTCCTGGCTCGTCCTCCCTCCTGCCCCCTGCTTCCTTCCACTCGGGGCTGGCCTGACCGGACCAGGACCTCGCCGCGCCTGCGCCCCCCCCCCCCCACAGGCCACAAGGAGCACTGCACCCTGCGGCAGGGCTCCGCGGGGACGCTGGAGTGCTCCGTCCGAGGCGCGTTCTGCGCGGGGGCATGCGGGCCCGATCGCGCTCTGCGGGGCAGGGTCGGGCCGCCTTGCCTCGGCGCCCGCGGTGGCGCCGACGCGGGCGTTCGGTGCCGATCGCGGTGGGCCACTTCTCCACAGCCGCGACGTGCCGCAGGTAGGACGACGGAGACCGGAGGATAGGGAGATCCTCTCTCTCCTCCTCCTCCTCCTCCTCCTCCTCCTCCTCCTCCTCCTCCTCCTCCTCCTCCTCCTCCTCCTCCTCCTCCTCCTCCTCGTCCTCCTCCTCCTCCTCCTCCTCCTCCTCCTCCTCCTCCTCCTCCCCCTCCTGGTTCCTGGTTCCTGGTGGCTTGAGATTCCATGGGGTGCAGCCTCCCCCCAAGGGCCGGTCGGCCCTTGGGGGTTGATCAAATTAGGGCCAGGTGACCCACCGCTCCGCTCCAGTGGTGAGCGGCGGTATCGGTGAACAGTATATGTATGGGTAGTTACCGGCATTCAAAGGCATTGTCCTCTTCCTCCCCCTCCTATTCGAACGGTAGGTCCTCCTGCCTTACCTGCTTATCATCCTGTTCTCGCCGCAGCCGTGTTGGATCTCAATTTTCTTTTTTACGGCGGCCACTCTACATTTGCTATCCATCGCTCTACAGTTTCCCTTCTTACGAATCACCCAGGGACGTACCCAACCCTTTGTAGACATGAGGCGACTATACACTGGACCGCCCAATACAAAAGCAAGCACTGAAGGATTCGCCGCGCTCTTGAACGCCTCGCCGCAGAACGTTAGGCCAGATTTAAATGCTTCACACTCGCGGCATCACTCTTAAGAGTCAGACCTTTGGCAGGAAGGCGACCACGAGGAGGCGTGGAAACTTACTGATGAGAGGGAACTGGAAGCATGCTTCGTGGGAGTAACGGCACATCGCGCTAGGTTCGCATCGCAGAACAGCCCCATGCGCGCTATGACAGAACAGCGCCCTGCGCTAAGTGCTGCAAGTGCCCGAGTGCATTACAGACAGGAGGCAATTGAAGAGTCGATGCGGCATGGGCACATGACAGCGCCATGCGCTCCGTGGCGCCCCATCCCGCTGCGATCTGCGATCAAACAGCGCAGCACGCTATGTGACGGCTTCCAGCCCCCCAGGGACAGTGAGGTCTCATGGTCGTCCCCGTGGGACACCCCTCCGCTGAACCGCCAAGGGGCCGGCGAAATCGGCGACAGTTTCGCACTTCGCAGCCCCCCAGGGACGGCGAGGTCTCATGGTGGTCCCCGTGGGAGCCCCTCCCCGTTGGACCACCCATGAGCCCACGAAAGCGGCTACAGTTTCGCAGATCGCAGCCCCCCAAAGAGGCAGGAGGAGAGGGAGGAGAGGGCAAATAAGAAAGTGGGAGTAAGGGCTTCGCCCTCTGCCGCCGGCCCCTTCTCTCGGATAATGGGCAACGCAAGAGCGAAATCATGAGGCCTTGGCGCCGTCGTGAAGCAGCGTCGGGATTTCACGCGAAGGCGATGAGTAATCAGCAACACGAATTGAGATTCTGATGATCCGTAAGGGCTTCGCCCCCTGCCGCCGGCCCCCTCTCTCGGAGAATGGGCCATGGAAGAGCTAAGTCATGAGGCCTTGGCGCTGTCGTGAAGCAGTATCGAAACTTCATGCGAAGCCGATTCGCAATCAGCAAAACCAACTGATCACAAGAGGGGTTACCACACCTGGCGATTGGTAAGACGTGTATGGTTTACGGGCTTGGTTACCACACCTTGCGATTAAAGGGCCGAGGGAGTTCTCGCAGTTTGGGTTACCACGCCTTGCGATGGATGTGCGTGAAGGGTGGCATCGAATTTCAGAAATGTGCCAAATCCCTTGTGTTTTTGGACCCTGACCCCGCGGATCTGCGTAAGGGGTGGCGCCGAATTTCAGAAATGTGGCAAATCCCCTGTGTTTTTGGACCCTGACCCCGCGGATCTGCGTGAGGGGTGGCACCGTGGCAAATCCCATGTGTTTTTGGGACCCGCGGATCTGCAGGGGTGGCGCCGAATTTCAGAAATGTGGCAAATCCCCTGTGCTTTTGGACCCTGACCCCGCGGATCTGCGTGAGGGGTGGCACCGAATTTCAGAAATGTGGCAAATCCCTGTGTTTTTGGACCCTGACCCCGCGGATCTGCGTGAGGGGTGGCACCGAATTTCAGAAATGTGGCAAATCCCATGTGTTTTTCAGACCCTGACCCCGCGGATCTGCGTGAGGGGTGGCACCGAATTTCAGAAATGTGGCAAATCCCATGTGTTTTTGGACCCTGACCCCGCGGATCTGCGTGAGGGGTGGCACCGAATTTCAGAAATGTGGCAAATCCCATGTGTTTTTGGACCCTGACCCCGCGGATCTGCGTGAGGGGTGGCACCGAATTTCAGAAATGTGGCAAATCCCATGTGTTTTTGGACCCTGACCCCGCGGATCTGCGTGAGGGGTGGCACCGAATTTCAGAAATGTGGCAAATCCCATATGTTTTTGGACCCTGACCCCGCGGATCTGCGTGAGGGGTGGCACCGAATTTCAGAAATGTGGCAAATCCCCTGTGTTTTTGGACCCTGACCCCGCGGATCTGCGTGAGGGGTGGCACCGAATTTCAGAAATGTGGCAAATCCCTTGTGTTTTTGGACCCTGACCCCGCGGATCTGCGTGAGGGGTGTCGATTTCGAGCCCCCCCAGCAATTCAGACAACGCGCCCAGGGGGTGCTAAAAAGCCGGTTTGGGCCTCCCCCCCCCTCGCGCGGTCAATCAACTAGTTACAGTAACCAGCAATAAGTCAACTAGTTACAGTAACCAGCAAGAAGCAGAACTGTAACACTGGAAACTACAACCTACGACTGGTACAGGAAACTGCGAATCACGGGCCTACAGCCTGGTGGCCCCACAAGGGGGCTGGCGGATATTGTTGACTTCGGGCCGCGCTTGTAGAGTAATTTGCGCAGGTTTATGGCTTCGGAGACGCGAGTGTCATGCAACTTGCAAATGTTTATGGCTTCGGACACGCGATTATTTGGTTATTTAAGAGGGTGCATGGCTTCGGGGTCGCACATATTTCGTCATTTACAATGGCTTCTGGCTCCGGAGATGCGAATACGGTAAATTACAAAATGTTCATGGCTTCGGATACGCGAATATAGCATCATATGCGAGGGTTTATGAATTCTGGGACGCGAGTACTCAATACTTTCAAATTGCTTATTGCATCGGGAACGCAAATCTTTGTGATTCACATAGGTTGATGGCTTCGAACACGCGATCATCGTGCACTTTGCGAGAGTGTATGGCTTCGGGGACGAAGCTACCGTGTGATTTACGAGCGTTTGTGGCTTCGGAAACGCAAGCATTGCGTAATTTGCAAGGGTTTATGGCTTCGGGGGCACGAGCTTGGCGTATTGTGCGAGGGTGGTTATGGCTGGGGGACACGAACACGGCGTATTCTGTGAAAGTTTATGCTTCGGGGGCGCGAATACAGCGTTGTTGGAATGGTTTATGGATTCGGGGGCGCGAATCTCATGGCCTCGGGGGCGCGACTTTCATGCATGTTTAGATGTCATACGCCCCTCCCCAGAAATTCCGAGAACCCTCCCAGGAGACTCTCAATTTGTAAGTTTTCGGCTGCCCCCGCGCGGTCCATCAACAAGAAACAACAAGCAGCATAAAGCAGAACTGTAACAGTGGAAAATGGAAATTGGAACTGGCGCAGGGAACAGCGAACCCTGAGCCGACAGCCTGGTGGCTCCACAGGGGGCCAACGGATTCAACACGAGAACCCAACCACGGGAATGTCGGGAATAATCCACGAGGCAAGGAGGCGGAGGACGAAAACGAGGAGGAGGAGAAAGGAGGGAGGACAGAGGAGGGGGGAGTAGTGAGTGGTGGGAGCCACGATGCTTTATTCAAAACGAGAACCCAACCAAGGGAAGGTTGGGGAAAAATCAACTGTCCACCGTCCACATCTCCATTTCTAGTTGGTCGCGGAGCAGGTTCGCCCTTGTTTCAACACCGCTGCCGCCATGTCCCGCCTCGCCTCGATGGCCGTGGCTCCCACCCTCCTTCGTTCTACACCGCGGCGCCAGCGGGAGGCGCCAATCAAGGGTACGCCAGGGCTGGGCCAGCCCATCCGCAGGAACACTACGTCGTGCCGCTGTACATGCCGCTCTGCATCCCGCTTTACATCCGCCTTCAGCATCATGGCCTTCGTGCGCGTCTTGCTGCTCACTGTGGCAGGAGACGATGCTCTAGGGACCGTCGGGGCATCCGCCCTTCCGAGACGAGCAGTGGCCGAGAACGTGCGCAACCAGTACTTCCGCAAAGGCAGCATCACCAACATCTAGAAGAGCCGCTCGGCGACCCATCCTGGGGGTGCTTGGACTGTCTCCAGGCAGCTCGTAGACTCAAACCTGTCAGCGCCCCCGCCCGCGGGGGCAGGCCCAGGTGTTAGACAGCTGTTCGGCGCAGTGTTCTTATCTGTGGCGCGAAAACAAAGTCCCGAGCTTCTTGGGACTGTGTCTTGAGAGCCCTGGGGAAAGCAAGCTGGGAAGAGCCATCCGGCGATTGCGTCGCTGGTGCCCAGCAGGGGCGCAGTGGCGAGCATTGAAAGCGCGTTGTCGCCCCCCGAGGTAATGCAGTGGAGGGCATGGCGACAGGGGCGCCATCATTCCGAGGCGCCACGCCTCGGGACCCGGGCCTTCGTTTCACTTGTTCAGACCCGCCAGGCAGGCCTGATGCGCGCTCCTCTACACGATCGTGCAATTGGCGGTGCTCAGTGCAGTGACCACTCGATGCACGAAGATCATTTCCGTGACTGGGTCGCGGGATGCCCCGAGCACCGCAAGCTGCATTGTGTCGCGACAGAAGCAGACGCCCAATGCGTTGACGAGGAGGAACACATCCCAGGCAAGTACCCTCGGCGACTCACGCAACGCCGCTTGAAGTCCCCCGGCCCCAGGCATCTCTACGCGGCATATGGAGGGAGCTGCGCTCTGGCTG